TTGGGGAGAGGGTTCTACATCTGGGTCTGGAGGCTCTGTCCAGCATCACTGACACCACTGGTTTCCAGAAGCTGGGCAGGACACTGGCCAGAGCGTCCCCCTCAGCTCCTGGCAGTGACGTCAGTGAGCTGGTCAGGAAGACAGCCACAATGTCCCAGGTTGCTAAGAGTTCTTAGCAACCTGGGATGCTCTCGCCACTCCCCTGACACCGCCCCCCATCCCACGTGACCCAATGAGATACCGCTTGAGACAACCACCTCGGGCTGCCTCTTGCACATGGGTGCCCACAATTTTTGTGTTAAGATCTACTTTTCAAATGACTAGCTACATAAGATCTACCAACAGAAAAAAAACTCCCTTGCGCTCTCTCTCCTGGCTGTCTCTCCTTGCTCTCTCTACTGGCTGACTCTCCTCTCTCTCCTGACCGTCTTTCCTTGCTCTCTCTCTCCTGGCTATCATTCCTCATTTTCTCTCCTGGCTGTCTCTCTTTGCTGTCTTGGCTGTCTCTGCTTGCTCTCTCCCCTGGCTGTTTCTCCTCGCTCTCTCTCCTGGCTCACCTTGCTGTATTTTGCAAACAGTGTACTGCAACAGGTTGTGTAAACTAATATTCTTTGATGTAATACATAGCACATCAACCACCAGAATCCACCAGAAAGATGTCAGGGAGCTTGGCTCAGCAGACTCAGGCTAATAGGTAATCATGTGTGCACAGCTAAATAAATATACCAAAATGGAATAAAGGGGCCACCATTCACACCCTTCGTGATCTACCAGCATCAGCTTTGAGAGCTACTGGTAGATCATGATCTACCTAATGGGCACCCCTGCTCTTGCACATGCTCACCCTCCCAGACACTGCAGCTCACAGTGGGAGGGTTTCAGCAACAAAAGCAATTCTGTCAATATAGAATGCAGTGGGCAGAACTAGGTGCGGCCACTCGGCCAGGTACTGATTGATAAGCTACAGGTTTATGACTCAGCAGTAACAAATTATAGCTATGCCCCACAACCACAGGAAGTTGCATTAGATAGACTTTACTGTAAGGTTTAACAGGTATGTGTAGGACTTTGCAGAGGGGATTAAGAGAAAACTGTAGGTGATGCAGATGCACTCATTGTTAAGTGCTGCAGTACATATTTTTTTAATGGGAGGTCATACTGTTCTACTCTAAAACCCAAAAACTGTTTGTGTCTACATGTGATGAGATTTGAAATGCTCTCGTTGTGTCCATAAGGACTTCCCTTGTCTTCGTGTTCACAGGCTGAGAAAAAAAGAGGCGATTAAAGCCTGACTCTGGGTATAAAAAGAAAAAAAACGACTCTTGCAGTGAATTTTCACGTATTTTTCTCAGTCACTAAGCTAAATACACTTTCCCTCTGCAAGGTGAATTTTCACTAGCCTTAGTCAATGAGGTCAAGATTTTTTTAATCCTGTTTTTTTTATGTTTCTTGTTCATGATAGGTATTCTTTACAAAGTGAATTTTGCTTACCTCTCCATATTCAGTAAGCTAAGCGAAAATTTACTTTACAAGGTAAGGATTCACTTGCATGCTCCACAACTTTAGTAAATCAGCCCCTCTGTATCTAATTGGTGACCATGAGGATCAATACCCTCATTTCCATTCATTTAAGGTGAATACCTAGATCAGTCTATATAAATATCTTCTACAAATATAATAACCTCTGTGATGCCCTCCATGTACCATGTGGTAACCACATGCCAAACATAGAATGGATTTTTAATTTGTTTTACATTGTTCTTACATTATAATTTGTATTGTCATTTTGTTTTCAATGTGACCATTGCTACACTATGTAAAATTAATTAGAGATGATGGCATGTAATATATTACACTGGTTTAATTTGTTTGATTGTGGTGATCACTAATTTTTCATGCTGTCACTGAAAAAGTAGTGCCAATCAAATTACATTATAGAGTGGCGTGAATCTTCCTCCATTGGATCCTGGAGACCCAGTGAAGTCGTTAGCTCTGTTTCTGCTAAGTGGCAGTTCTGTCTGGTCAGGTGTCCGGAAAACTGTGGAATCCTCTATAGCAGAAGATAGCAAATTGTTGGGTTACATAAACACATTGCCACAAAGTAGCATGTACACAAAGCACAGCATAAACCGTGCCTGTAATTAAGGGCTGTTCTATTTTAGTGGAACACATTGTCAGTCTGTTATTACTGAAAAGTCAGCGCAAAGCTGGTGTTTTTTTTTTTTTTAATGTCTTTTAAGTCTAGAATACATCTGAATGAAAAGGTGGCGTCATTTCTAATAATCACATCTGTGTCCCATAATTATGTAATTATGGCACACAAATTAGATTGTTGGAAATTATGCAATCTAATTTATAGATGGGGTTATCCAAGCAAAGAAACACAGTGGGGGGAATTTATCAAAACTGGAGCAGAAGAATCTGGAGCAGTTGCTCATGACAACCAATCAGTATCTCTCTTCAGTTTACTCAGGTAAGATTAGAAAATGAGACAGAGAAGCTGATTGATTGCAGTGCAAATCTGCTCCAACAGTGACATACAGCATTAATTTTCCCTATCATGGGTAAGTTATATTCATAGCATTTAATCTTTACTACTTTATAGCATCATCCTTTTTTGTAACTAGGTTGGGTTGCATCAATGAGACAAATTATTAAAAAAATAAAATTGGATGCTTTAAAGAAGCCTGTGAGCAAGTCAATTGACATTAAAGAGAATATAAAGAAACCAAAGAAATGAATACCCAACAAGCAAGAATTGATTAAATGCACAAAAAACCTATACTTTGCTGCAACGGGGCTACTTTTTCCACCCCACTCCTTATAAAAGGGAAAATTATTTTTAAAGATTCTTCATTGGGATTGTTTTATTACAAGAGTGAATATTCATGTTGCAAAGTGATTGTAATGAAAGGAAAGTGAAGTTGTGTTCGCTTTGAATGCCCATGCAAGTGCAGAGGAAATAAAAAAAATGTTTTTGCTAGCACATGATTGGGCGTTAAAGTGAACAGCTTCACCTTATTCACAAAACTTGCCTTTCCAGAACGAACATACACTTTGCAAGGTCCATCTTTCCAGGGATCACATATTGTGTAATAGCTTGGACGGATATTAGAAATATTTGTGCCATTGGCTCATTGGTCAGAATAAGATTAGCCCTGGAAATCCCTTAATCTGTGACACAAGCTGGAAAAAGTCAGTTTATGGTTTATGGTGACTGTTCACAATGGCACAAAATAAGTGAATATATTTTCTAGCATTAGAAATAAACTTATTAGGTAAATAGTAACAGAGTTGGCCACATATCAACTGTGCATAAAGAGAAAAGTGAATTTATTTACATATACATGTATTTATAATGTATTTATTTATAAATATTGTGAATAACTTGAAGCTAGGTTTGCTTTAAACACCCAACCATATCTGAGTTAAATCCTGTTTATTTCCTTTGAACATAATTGGGTATTCAAAAGGAACATAGTTTCACTGTATTTACTAAGCTAAGTGATGAATACAGCTGATTTAGTAAGGCTGTTCTCCTAGCAAAGTGAATGTCGATAAACAAGGTGAACTTGTGCTCACGAAGAATAACCCAATCATGTTTGAGGGAAATTTAAGAAACAGTTTTTTGCTAGCGCATGATTGGGTATTCAAAGCAAACACAGATTCACCTTATTTTCTAACATTCATTTTGCTAAGTGAACAACCTCTGCTTCTTTAGTAAATCAACCCCACTGTCTTTTTCTTTTGTGATTCAACTCCTTTGTTCACAAGGGACTTGAATTATAAAGGAAAATACATGAATGTTAGCAATTACCTTGTATCCAAAGTATGAATATTGAAAAAAAGTGAAAACATAATTAAAAAAACACCTGCAGGACCCTAAAAAACATTTACAGTAAGAAAGATTATGAGTGGTCTACGGTCTATACAATTTCCTTTTTCCATTTCCTTACCTTGACTGAGTAGACCAACGCCATGAATCCAAGACAGAAGAGGTTCAGGTACACAGTGTTACACACAGACCACAACAGGTGATCCCTGGGTACTGGGGGGACCCCTATATTGACAGCAGTGTGAGGACTATCTGGCTTATTTGGGTGTGATGTAAATATATCTTCACGGGGGTAAGAGGTGTCCATGATGGTGAAGAAAATGAGGAAAGAATAGGCTAGGGAACAAAAATAGATAGGAGTTGTGAATAATAGAAGCTCCTGAAAAATGTCGGGGAAGAGACAGATTGTCTTGTGTGTCCTCTTTATAAAGCTCTCAGAAGACTGGGCCTTTCCCCTCCTTTCTTGTATTACAGGGTCCTTTTCTGTACATAGTCATTGTGGTCGCCTTTTGGTTGTTAAGTTTTCTATGTTTGCTGGACCTGACTAAGCTGGAATTTACCACCTATGTATCTAGTTCAGAAGCTGATTATATGACATAGACCTAAATAAAGACCAAAGGGTCAAAAATAGAAATGGGGGCTCCTTTGTTGTAAAAAGATTTGCCTGTCTTGTTAAGAAACTAGGCGCTTGTTTGAAATAAAAAGGACAAAGGTTTCTTCTCTTTTAGTAAGCTGAACAAGTCTATGAGAGTCCCAAATTATATTATTATTATTATTTTTCAGGATTTATATATAGCCAACAGTTTGCACATCGCTTTGCAATCGGGTGAAGACATTACAGTTATAATACAAGTCTAAACAAGATGATAAGGATGACCCTGCCTGTGAGAGCTTACAATCTATTAAAGAGGGGCAAGTGATAAAAGAGGTGGTAGAAAAAAGAGCAAAATACAGACGTGGCAAAGACATACTGGGGGGGAATTTATCAAACCTGGAGCAAGACACAATCCGGAGCAGTGGCCCTTAGTAACCAATCAGCATCTCTCTTCAGTTAAGCTTTGAAAATGTAAAAGAGAAGCTAATTGGTTACTGTGGACAAATGCTCCAGATTCTATCTGCTCCAGTTTTGATACATTTCCCCTACTGTGTTAAAGAGAATCTGTCCATTCATGACATAGTGACATGTTCTCTTGAAAGTCACCCTTCCCTCAAACCACTGACACTCACCACCCCCATGCTCCCCCACCACTCCATTTATCTCAGCTGTTGCCTCAGGCATTGGGTCATGTGAGGGGGGAGCGGGGGCCTGTGCCGGCAGATGTGTCTACTGCCCCCATGGCAGCCAGAGCATCTCAGGTTGTTAAGAGCTTTCAGCAACCTGTGATGCTCTGGCCGGTGTCCCCCCAGCTCACTGACGTCACTGGTTGCCAGGAGCTAGGCGAGGCGCAAGCCAGGGCGTCCCCATCCAGATCCTGGCAACCAGTGATGTCAGTGAGCTTTGCAGCCATGTAGTATTGGGATGTCACCTGCACTCCACACAACATATATGGAACATAAAGTAAATATAGTGCTAGAAGTGATGCCACGGATGGCGCGATGCGTGCTTAGGGATGTATGGAGAAATCACCAGCACTCCAAATCCGAAGAAGTTAGGATGTGTGTTTATCACTTTATTGTCACATGCGTCAAGTACAGCCAACGTTTCGGGGGCACGCAGGGTCCCTTCCACCAGACAACATAGTGAACGGGGGACGGCGACGACTCTGAACAGAGCCTGACCCCAAGGTAGCACCAGCAACCTCCCCTCCCACCAGTTCACCTTCCCATGGAAATCTACCACCAGCACACAACCCTAGCCCCCCCCAGAAATGTGCATCCACTGCCAGCAAAAAAATGAGCAGCCACAGCCAGCATCCCCCCAGGAAATGAGCATCCATCTCCAGCACCCCTCCTGTTCCAGAAACAAGCATCCACCGCCAGCAGAAACTGCCCTCCCCGCCCCTCGCAAAATGATCATCCACCCCTCCGAAAGCGAGCATCCACTACCAGCACCACCTACCCTCCCGGCTCAGGCAGCGAACAGGGTATGGACATCACTGCTTGTGTCATAAGGTGGAGGGGAGGTCACAGGACAATAACAACCCTGTGTGAGCTCTGACACTAACTGACACAGAGCTTACATCTGGGATTAGATCCAGGTCTCAATAAGATAAATAGAGCAAAAGGGGAGCACAATTTTGCTGAGTATCAAATGATGGGGGAACTGGGCTTTCAAGAGAACCTATCACTTTGTATGGAGCATACTGTATTAACACAGCAAAAAATAAGGGGAAGAGACATTTCTGGTTGAGTACCCTGACCCAGTACAAATGAACATTCAACATTCTTAGCATATTTACCAAAAATGATGGGGACAGACATCTTTGCAACTCATTGTCAGGTGACGTTTTCAGCCAGTCGTGCTCCTCCCCTGCACTGTTGGGATTATTGCAGTGCTGGTATATACACATTCATACTTTACAAATATGTGTTTGTATCAAGAAAATGCAAGACTTTAAGCCTAATGGCTATTGTATTACTGTATATATACTACCTGATATCAGAATGCAATACAATGCTAATTGTATTGTAGTAACTAAATTGGAGGTATTGAGTCATTTCCTGTGTTTCAAATTACAGCACAAGGTAATGGATAATTTAATAGCTATTAAAATAATTGTTTTAACTCAGTATTATTTCTTATTTGAATTGCATTTATTATAGTAATTACACTCTAATGGAAATAATAATTTGCAGTGTTTAATGGGAACATTTTGCCGTGTACAAAAATAGCATGAGAAAAAAAATCACTGCAGGACACCAAAGGTCTGGATTAGGGGATATGATCACATCAGGCTATAGGTAGGCATTGACCAACTAAATGCCAATGAAAAGGGGAGGGCAGGCAATAAAGGGACTAGAACCCAATGAGTAACATGTATAAAGGGAAGGTGTTAACTCATAAGACGCCTGTGAATATTGTAGGTTGCTTCATGATAACATACACAGTATGATGGATGGATTTAACCAGTGTTATGATGCATATAGCTGTCATTTATCATGTAAAATAAATATAGATATTAGGGATACTTAGGGATAGGATATGCACCGATACTTTTCAGATACCAGTGCCGATACTTGGCATTTTCATGATTTGCAGCAGTTGCAGCTGGGAACTGGCTCTGGCGCGTCACCACTGTCCTGAAATCATTGGTCGATATTGTTTTAGAAAAACTGTCACATGACAATAAACAAAAATGTATCAGTACCAGGGCCGGCCTTAGGAGTGTGCGAGCACGGGGCGCCATGGCAACAAAGGTGCCAGGCGGCCGACACAGCTCGTCCTCTGGGCGGCTTCTCTCCTCCTCACCATTGGCCATCCGACATGACAGTGCTCCCTCGTCCGCCGCAGGAGGGAGGGCTGCCTGCTGTCAGGATGGGCGAGCGGTGAGGGTGAGAGAAGCCACGCCCGCAGCTGTCAGGTTGGCCGAGCGGGGAGGAGATCGGAGCCGCTGTCATCCTGTCAGTTTCAGGATGACAGCGGCTCTGTGTGTGGCAGTGCGGGGGATCTGTAAATATCATTGATACTTACCGATCCTCCGTGTGAGAAGAACAAACACTGGAGCGATGGTCTGATCACTTCAGTGTTTGTAAATAACTGGGGACACATAGTACTATGTGTCCCCAGTTATGAATGAACAGGCTGTGATTTACATCACAGCCTGTTAATTCAAGATTTCCTCCCCATTCAGAAACTGTTGTTAGTAAATATTTTACTATCAGCAGTTTCTGTATGAATGGGAAGCTTCTGTACTGAGTGCTTTCCATTCATTGAGTGCTGGGGCTGCAGAAAAAGAAATTGAGGATTTGGTGTCCTCAATTTCTTAAGTAAAAAATATATAAATAAATAATAACAAAATGAAAAAATTATTTAAAAAATTGTAAAAAATTATTTTACAAAAGTGAAAACTGCCCCCCCCACCACCACACACATATTATTAGACATGTGCAAAGACTAAAAATTTGTATGCTATTTTTGATTCAGCTATTGGCGTGTTCTGGAGGCAGGGCGCATGACGTCATATAACAACGCACGTGTTGGGCTTCGCAATCTTGGTGTATATCTAGGTATACACCAAGATGGGGGCGCCTATATCGGCGTGTGACGTCACCTGATGCCTTGCATGCATGGCGTCATGTAACATCATGCTCCCCGCCTCCAAGATGGTAACACGCATTCACAGAACACGCCGGTGGCCAACGTTGGTCACCGCACATTCTCAAACAAATTATTATGTGCCAATTATTATGTGCCTGAATAAATTTTTCGTATATTCGGACAAATAGTAATTCATTCATTTACATGTAGTCTGGGTTTTGTGTTCTGTTTTCTATTTTTACTTTTTCTAGATATACTTACTTGAAAACTTACTTGAAAAAAGGGTCGGTATGACAACCTGACACTTTATTTTTATAGACTCTATTTTAGTTTGACATTTATTGTTTGCCTTCTGTTGTTTTATTTGATAAGAATATTTATATTGTGCCGACAAGTTTAATACCTTTGAATAAAAGTTTTATTTTTATCATACTTTTTAATATATTTTTGTTTGCGGCTTAACAAAATAGGAGTCTTTAAATGGTGCGGATATTGGAAAAATGGGTGTGGTTACTGGGAGTGTGGCCACTAAAGGGTGTGGCCACTGAGGGGTGTGGTCACTGAGGGGCGCTGTAAAGCTTTCTTGCACCGGGCGCCTAAAGGCCTAAGACAGGCCCTGATCAGTACTTGTACTCGCAAAACTGGTATCGGTGCATCCCTTTATATATGTTTATAAAAACAAAATCATACATAAAAACAGAGATGTACAAAGCCCAGGAGCTCCGTGTGCTCCTTACAAATGACAGCTGCCTCCTAACTTTTGAATTTTTCTCTAGTCTAGTCTTGGAGCTCGAAAAGTATCTGTACTTGTACTTGTACCGAGTACAGTACTTGGTATCGATCGGTGCAACCCTAATACATATTGTTGTAGTGACTGTGTGATTGATAAATTCCAACATGGGACGTTTTGAGTAAGATTGTAATCAATTGTATTCCATGATGAGAAGCTCACTGTCAACGTTGGATATATAAATGTGAACCTGACTCCACTTCTGCGGCACACAATAGTGATTTATATAATGATCCCATGGATTGTACATACTGTATAGCTCTATGGGCTCTTTATTAGCTTGTTGTGGACAGAATGTACTATACAGTATATTCTATTA